TAACTCTTTGAACCTCTGACTCCTCATCTATAAAATGCTCAAGATACCAACATCTTAAGACTGTTGTGAGGGGACTTACCTGGTAGTTCAGTGGCTAAGACTCTGCTCTCCCAATGCAGGAGACATGGGTTTGACTCCTGGTCAGGGAACTAGATCCAGTCTGCCACAACTAACAATCAAAGATCCTGTGTGTGGCAACTAAGACCCGGTACAGCCAAATAAATTAAAAAAAAATTTTTTTAAGGGATGTATGTTAACAGTTAACACAAGGCCTGGCACACAAGCACTCAATAAATAAGTTATTGTTAATGTTACAAAATATTTCAAAACAAGTTTATAAAGAAATGAAATCAGTTCTTAATACAAGGTATCAGAAGAGTATTTTCTTCATCTTTTACTCAAATAAACCTTAGCCAGGTAAGAAATATCTGGGCTTCTCTGATGGCTAGGAGGAGATCAGTCCTGGGTGTTCACTGGAAGGACTGATGCCGAAACTGAAACCCCAGTACTTTGACCACCTCATGTAAAGAGTTGACTCATTGAAAAAGACCCTGATGCTGGGAGGGATTGGGGGCAGGAGGAGAAGGGGACAACAGAGGATGAGATGGCTGGATGGCATCACCGACTCGATGGGCATGAGTTTGAATAAACTCCGGGAGTTGGTGATGGACAGGGAGGCCTGGCGCGCTGCGATTCATGGGGTTGCAAAGAGTCAGACATGACTGAGCAACTGAACTGAACTGAACTGATGGCTCAGAGGATAAAGAATCCATGTGCAATGCCTGAGACCTGGGTTTGATCCCTGGGTCGGGGAGATCCCCTGGAGAAGGGAATGGCTACCCACTACACTATTCTTACTTGGAGAATTCCATGTACAGAGGAAATATCTTTAGGGATTAGTAATGCAGGTTGGACAAAAGGAAGGAAAGCAAAAAAGAATGATCCTATTCTATTAATACCACAAGAAAAAGAGAAAAAAAATTGAACAGAAACTTCTGCTTAGCATTTTAGAGTTCTCTTAAATCATTCACCTTCTATAGTAAAACATATTGACAATTTTGAAAAATATCTTTATAATGCAAGAGGCAGTAGTGAAAGTCTCTCAGTCATGTCTGACTTTTTGTGACCCCATGGACTATACAGTCCATGGAATTCTCCAGGCCAAAATACTGGAGTGGGTAGCCTTTCCCTTTTCCAGGGGATCTTCCCAACCCGGGGATCAAACCCAGGTCTCCTGCATTGCAGGTGGATTCTTTACAAGCTGAGCCACAAGGGAAGCCCAAGAATATTGGAGTGGATAGCCTATCCCTTCTCCAGCGGATCTTCCAACCAAGGGATCAAATCAGGGTCTCCTGCATTGCAGGCGGATTCTTTACCAACTGAGCTACCAGGGAAGCCATTAGAGGCAGAATACTATACAAATACATTTAAAATGATACTTGAATACATCTAAGCCTGCAGAAATATTTCACTAAATATAAAAACAATTCTGAGTAAACCAAAGTTTAATATACAAATAATGAGAAATCTATGTTAACTGAGCTCTGGTAAATCTTTCATCGTTTACTTGATGAATAAAAGGTAAAAACATAGAAATTATTTTAAACCGACCACTTGTTATTTATATAACCTCCTTTTTCATTTTCTATAACAATGAGAACATCCTGTTATAATAGTGATCCTGAAGCACTGCAAAAATCCTAAAAGTGGACTTCTGAATTAAAGGAAAGATGAATCAAAGATATACAAGATATACGCTCAGTTTGTTAGAAATCAGTTAAGCAATAAGCCCCTTTTCTGACTGTTTTCAATAAATACCAATTTGCTGCAAATTTAAGAGAAACAAAAAATACAAACTCTCGAGGACAGGCACCTGATTTTGTTTACCTCTGTATTAAAACACCTGAAACAAAGCCTAATATATAGCAAGCACTCAATAAACACTTGTTAAATAACAAGAACACTTAAGATTTATGTTTTATGTGATCATTTTAAAATCAAGCAGTCTCAGAAGCAATATTCACATGCCCAGTTTCTGCTTTCAGTTGTAACTTGGTTACTTGCTTGCCTTTAAGAAGTCACCTTCTTGGAGCTCTCTTCTACATTCTGTGAATTCAGGGTGCTAACACATGCTCTCCTATCTCACATGATCTTTAGTAAGACTCAGTTAATGGAAATGAAAATGTGTTATGAAGTTATAAACCACCATATAAATGTCATTGTTTACTGTTTCAAGTATCTGGCAGAGTAAGTTAGGGCATACATAAGTTTGCATACTAAGTCACTTCAGTCGAGTACAACTCTTTGTGACCCTATGAACTGTAGTCTGCCAGGCTTCTCTGTCCATGGGATTCTCCAGGCAAGAATACTGGAGTGGGTTGCCGTGCCCCACTCCAAGGGATACGTAAGTTTGAAGTGAAGTGTGGGTGTCACTCAAGTCTTGTCCGACTCTTTGCAGTGATAAACTCAAATCTCTTCATTTTAACCTGACTAATATGTTAAAAACCTTTCACATTTTCTTTAAATGTATTCAGTATTTACCTACAGTTTGACTAATCTTTTTTCCCTGGTGGCTCAGATGGTAAAGAATCTGCCAGCAATGCAGGCCTAGGTCAGGAAGATCCCCTGGAGAAGGAAATGACAACCCACTTCAGTATCCTTGCCTGGAAAATCCCATGGACAGAGGAGCCTGGCAGGCTACAGTCCATGGGGTTACAAACTGTTGGACATGACTAAGTGACTAACATACTCATAATTTGACTAATCTTTTTAGTAGGAAAGCCTTGCAGCATCTATATTTTACTGATGTATGCTAAAATGTTACCACTAATTAACATATGTAGGCCAGAATCAGGATTTAACCCTCACTCTGTTACTATTCCCTGGTGGCTCAGATGGTAAAGAATCTGCCTGCAAAACAGCAGATCCAAGTTGGATCCATGAGTTGGGAAGATCCCCTGGAGACCGGAACAGCAACCCACTCCAGTATTCTTGCCTGGAGATTCCATGACAGAGGAACTTGGCAGGTTACCCGCCGTAGGGTCATGAAGAGCTGGGCAAGACTGAAGCAACAGCCCGCACACATGCACTGGTAATATTAATGTGGTAGAGAAAAAAGAACAGGACTCGACATTATAAGATTTAGATTTCAATTTTAGCTAAATCATCTTCTAGCTGGGGTGCAAATTTTACATTTTAAAAATAGTTAATATTTACTGGGTATTTATCTGCCAGGCACCATTCAGAGCACTTCACATGTTTTGACTCTCTTGATTCTCACAACAGCCCCAGGCTGTTGTTATGGTTGTTATCTATGAGGTAGACACTCTGCTCACTTTTCAGATAAGGAAAGCAAAACAGGGAGGTTAGACACAGGCCCAAGGCTCCAGAGCAGGTGGAGACTGCACTGGGATTCAAACCCAGGTCCTTAGACACCAATATTCACAGCTCTAACTACCAGGCTGTACTAGGCACCCCAGGTGCCTCAATTTCCCTCTGAGGATAATAGTACTCCATAGGATACTTTGTGACAATGAAAGGATGTAAAACATTCTGAAATACCTGACAAGGAGTACACAATTAATATTTAAAACAGAGACTTCCCGGTGGTCTAATGTCTAAGACTCTGCACTCCCAATGCAGGGGGCCCAGGTTCGATCCCATGTCAGGGAACTAGATACCTGCATGCTGCATCTGCAGATTCCAAACACCACAACTAAAAACAAAACAGAAATGAACCCACATGCCTCAACACACAGAGAAGATTTTGAATGTTGCAAATAAGACCTGGCATAGCCAAACATTTTTTTAAAATATTAAAAATAAAACTTTTTTCCCCAAGTATTTTAAATAAAATATTCTCTTCCCTGTGACTTTTATTTACTTTCTAACCATTTCAAATTATAAATTATACTGTTCTGTTGGTCTTCTTTGTGGGGAAGAGTGGCAAGTCAGTGTAAAAATTCATTAAAAATCAAACAAAGACGAGCATAGGTGAGTGGGATCATTTCAAGAGTCTTAAGTATAAAGAACCAATGCAGAAAAGATCTTTACATAATATCCTTGAATACTAAAAAGACAAAGTTATGAAACATCTGAGAGTTAATACCAAAAGATCAATGGATTAAATGTTATCTAAATATATTTCAATTCAACAGAAACTTATGTAATCTCAATGGGAACGTTCTGATTCTGGCAGAGGTTTTCTAGCTTTCCTTTCTTGTTGAAAGGGCTTAAATTTGGATGTGTGTGGGCTAACTGTAGACTGATTATTTTTTCTAGTTAATAGTATTTACTTGTTTCACTGTTAAGAATTATACGAAAAAATTATAGTCTTTTTCCACCGTTAGCAATAATGAAGTTATCTTGGGTACAGCTTTCCAATTACACAAACACATTTCAAATGCCTTTCTAGCTAACCGGCTCTCAAAAAGTTAAACCTTAACTGCACAAGTAGATTTATAACTCTACTAAACCTTTTTATTTATGCTCATAAACTGCTAAACACATAGTATCTGCACTCCATCAACTATAATTTGTTAGCTCTAAGATTTTTTTTCTTCCTACTCTATACTAAAAATTCAAAGGATGAAAAAATTTATCCTCACTAGTACCAATCAGACACATTTTGGAGTATGGAATTAAAGATTTTTCAAAGACCTAAAAATGAGGAGAAAATGGACGAGGTCAAAGGAGTCTTGGGTTCTAGTCCTGCAAAAGTAGAATGAAGCAGCTGAATGGACAAAATTCCCACATGTAGTCTATGCAAATTGAAAAAAAGGAGAACAAGTAGAGATTTCAGTCTTTTCCTGTTAAAAATAATATCCTCAATCCCAGGCCCCAAATCTTCCTTAATTAAAAGATTATTGGTCATAGAATGCTAAGCTAGATCTTAATTATTAAATGTACTCCCTGTTCTTCTGTGGATTAGGACCTGAATTTTTTCAAAATGCCTAATTTAAGCGGTCAAACCATTTAAATCAGTGAGAGTTAATAATGAATAGGGCTGTCAATAAGTTTCTCCTTTATTTCACACTAGTGGCAAAAAACTTCTTTCGGAATTGATGTTACACATTTTCACTGGATGAGCCATAACAGTAGGATGAATCCTGGTCCAACATTTAGGAGAAATGCAGGACACAGTGTTGCCTCCACACATCAGCTGGCTGTGTGACTGGTGACAAAAGTCGTGTCACTGCCCCAGCTTCTGCTTCTTCATTTTGAGGAACGTGTCCTAGATGGTCTGTCCTTCGTTGACCATTCAAACTCGATTCATCTAGAGAGACTGAGCTGTTGAGGAATTCTGTATTCCAAATAGTTCTGTTTTGTTCTGGGTCTATCATGCTACTTCTGTAACTGCTACTCCCCATAAAGATGCTGAAAGCATGCCAAGTTTGCGGTTTGAATTCTAAAGGTATTAAACGACTTAACATAGTGACTACTTCAAAATGACTGAGCGCTTAGGGTTAAAAAAAAAAAAAAAAGCCTCCAAGAAGATGCTTTCAGTTATAGTTTATGAATGCACCTCAAACCTCACATCAGTTTATCTTCTGGATACCTACTTTCTTGGTGATTAATTCTCCAAGTATTATTCCATTCCATCTTGAAATATGCTTATTTCACACAAGGTTTAACAGGGGCAAAACTGACACTGGGCCTTGATCATTGTGTGGGAAACTGTCCCGCGCATCACTGGATCCTGAAGAGCCTCCGTGGCCTCTGCCCACTGTTTGTAAAAGCACCACTCCACTCACACAAGGGGTGGCCACCAAAAATGTCTCTAGATATTGCCCCTGATAACGTCCCAGAGGTGGGGGTGGAGGGAAACCCCAAAGTAGAAAACCACCGATTTAAAGAACAACGCTTCATTTTACACAGCTAACTCACTCCGTCAAGGTCTCCATAGCCCAAAACCACCTTAAGAAAAGTGGCTAGCCTAGGTTAGCAGGCTGACACTGCTTCTTGGCGGCGAAGGACCAGACCGAAGATCTTCAGAGGCCCTTCCCCGCCACAGCTTGATCAAGAGTGTGGAAAGGCAAACACAAGCGTGGCCACGAACTCCATCAGCGACTACCTCTATTATCTTCACCGTGAGCTACGTGCATTCGAAAGGAAGCACACGCGTTTCTGAAATAAGCACGCTGTGAAAGACAGGTGGAAACCATCAAGAGGCAGCAAGTCTCCGGGCGTTCCCATTTAAGACTGGGACAACCCTGGGCAGCTCCGGCCGGGCCTCCGGGTGCGGGGTGCGGGCGCCCAGCTCCCGCCACGCCCACCCGACGTCACCCGTTACACAACGCCCTCCACCACCCCCCACCCACCCCGGCTTATGCAATTCTGCCTCCCGCGGCTTCCAATTGCCCCGGTGACTTTCGCGGGAGACCAAGGTATATACGTTGCACGCCCGGCCTCGGCTGGGGATCCTCTTCCCCGCCCCGGCAAGGCGTCTCCCCGCCGCGGACCCGGCCCGGGCGGCCAATTACCGGAAAGAGCGCGGCAGGAAGCGAGCCGACGCTCAGGCTCGCCCAACTCCCTCCCCATCCCGCGCTCGCGCGGCCTCGCCCGGCCACCCGCTCCGCGCCGCTCCGCTCGGGGCGCGCCCGCCACAGCGCCAGGCCGAGGCGGAGGGAACCCCGCGCCGCGTCACAGTCGGCTTGAGGGCGATCCCCATTGTGACCGAAGCACCTCGGGGCGCCGCCCCTTCCCACACACACCCCCCTCAAAACACACACCCCGGGACCCCGAGACGCAAGCCCTGGGCGGCAGCCGGCCTGGGGCGCAGACGAGCTTGGGGCCGCCCCGCGCGTCGGGGAAGGAAGGGTGCGGTCACGGGGCCCGCGCGCTCACCTGCTCGCAGCTCCTCGCAGGCGGCGGCCAGGGCCTCCCGGTAGCGCCCCTGGTGCAGCAGCTCCCCGAGCCGGCCGGCCGCCCGGGCTCTCTCCCGTTGGCCCGGGAACCACTTTTCGGTCAGGTGGTTAAGAACGACGCTGGTCCTGAAGCCGGAGGCGGCGGTGGCGGCGGCAGCCGGAGGCGGCCGCGGGGAGGTCCCCAGGGCATCGGCGGCCGCGGCGGGCGGCAGCCGGTCCCGGCAGAGGCGGCAGCGCGCGCGGAGCTCTCTCCGCAGGCAGCGGCGGCAGTAGCTGTGGCCACAGGGCACAGTCACCGGCTCGCTGAGGAAGCCCCGGCAGCCCAGGCAGCTGAGCAGCCCGCCGGCGCTAACGCCGCGGTGGGCGCCCCCCGCCGGGCTCGCGCTCCAGCCCAAGCCGTGGCGAAGCCGGTAGTTGAACACCAGGCAGTCCACCAGGGTGCCGAGGCACTCGGGCCTGACCGGGGCCCCGCGGCGCAGCGCCGCCGCGTACGCCTCCAGCGCGCCCTTCAGGTGGCCGCCCAGCGCCAGCAGCTCGCCCCGGCGGAGCAGCAGCTCCCAGCGCTCCGACTCCGCGGCCGCGCGCTCCAGCCGGTCGCCGCCGCCGCCGCCCACTTCCCAGAACCGGCCCTGCCTCTGCGGNTATATCACTTTATGGTTTCCAATTCCTTGCTCAGATTGTCAGACTTGGCATTTATTAAATATAGTAAGCATTATTGTTTTGCAGTCTGTATCTGATAATTTAAATATCTGAAATCTATTGGTATGAGCTGTTTGGAACCGGTTTAAATTTGAGGTTTGAATCTCAAGCCTTAAGTTCAAGACTTGAGGTTTTCTAGACCATCGGATGGAGTAAAGCTGGACTACAAGTCAAGAAAATGGTTAGTTTACTCTAATTTACCCTGAGGATAGAATTATAGCTCAGCTTAAAGTAGGAACTATTTTATCTTTGTCTTTAGTGAGCATAGACTTCCATCATCTGACTTTGTAAGGCACTAAAACTGCAGTTCTGTTTCACAGCTGTTTCTTCTGAATCAGTAGATATCTCAGGGTCCCCTGGGCTTAATTCTTGTAATTCTCATGTTCTCCAAGTATTCATCTGATATTTTCTCATGGGCTTCTTGGCTCTTTGGTGTTTTAAGATTTTTAAAATATATTCTGTCCTGATTTTTGGGTTTACCAGTTGGCACTAGTGGTAAAGAACCCACCTGCCAATACAGGAGACATAAGAGATATGGGTTCAATCCTTGGGTTGGGAAGATCTCCTGGAGAAGGATATGACAACCCACTCTAGTATTCTTGGCTGGAGAATCTCATGGACAGAGAAGCCTGGTGGGCTACACATAGAGTCCCAAAGAGTCAGACACAACTGAAGCTACTTAGAATGCACTTAGCACATCCAGCTTTTTAAAGTGTAACTATCACATTTAAAATGTTATGTCTGTACTGCATAAAAATATAATTTTGGACACTCAGGTTTTAAATCCTGCCTAATATTAATACATGTCCTTGGGAGAAATGCATCTTTCTGGATTTTAACTTTGTTTCATCTTTTAGATCAATGATTAAAACATGTTTTGCTTATACTGCCTTGCAGGGAGACCAAATATGGCACTTTGCCACATCTGTGTTCCTGGTAAAGTTATATGGGTACCATCTTCTACTAATAGCAGTGTTTGGCTTAGTGGTGGCTGGATCTGTATTAATATTTGGGGTTTTAATGATTGGATTGACAGGAAACCAAGGATAAAAGGGTAGTACATAAATAATTATATGGTAATTTATGGCCTCACTTGAGTTTTTTGTTTAGCGAAGTAAAATACAGATATGAACTTAATAGCAATAGGGCATAACTTATAAAAGCTAGAAAAAGAGTTATCCAGCCTCCTGTCATTCCCTGGTACTATGTTTAGAATATTTTATTACAGTTTTTAGATTTTTATCCACCACAGATTTTTAATATTAAATTCCTGAAAATATATTTTCTTTTTAATACTCTGGTATTACCCGTGTATAATAGTCATGTTATTTTTATCAAAGACAATTTCTATGTGTAAAAGATATCTTTTGTACCAAGTAAACTATCTGAACTGGGAACTAATATCTGGAGACTTATTTGTTCAAAATGCCAATCTATATTTAGCTTTTGACTCTAATATATCTTTAACCTTCTTTTACCAAAGAAGAATATAGGATTTCCTAAATTTTTCCAATTCTTGTGATTACCAGTCAGCCTGATTGTTTTCATTCCACCTAGAAGGCTTCACAAAGCAGTCTCTGAAGCCATTGCATTGAACAGGTTAACTTATCTAAAATTTGGACTGTTGGTCCTTAGGCCATATTGATCATTTGAGTCATGAATTAAATCCAGAAGAGTGTGATATATCAATAAATTTTAAGTAAATCAGAAAAATTTAAGCTTTGAATTATTGAACATCCTGCTTTTCATGTCATCTTTCTCTCAAAGCATGTTTTCATTTATTTGAAAAGCCCAGCTTTTTTCTTTTCTTTCCTTCTTTCGGTTGTAAAGGCCTTGCCTTTAGTGAGCTCACAAGCCCGCTCCTTGCCTCCTCCTCAGTCTGTGATGGCTGATGGAAATAAGAACCCTGGTTGGCAGGGGGATCTGGTCAAATGCAGTTATTCTGCATTAAACAATGATATATTCGTAACCTGTCTCTTAAAACCAAGAGGAAATATCGTTTCTCTCTGCAGTTGCTCACACCTTGCTCTTCACTCAGAATGCCTCTGTCCCCACCTGCTATGTCATACAGATGCCGGTATTCTCCTACAGAAGGGAGATGGAGCGAGTGTGGCATGGCTGGTTCACAAGCGTGTCACCGTCTCTCCTGGTGCCGTGAGGGTGAAAGTCACAGATGAGGCCGCATGCCCTTTGGTGAGTCATCGCTGGATGGCCCTGCTTACCGATGTGGGGTCTAGCTAACCTTTAACCAGTGTTCTCCTCACCCCTAATTTGTGAATCAGAGTCTACATACCCCAGGGATGAAGGCAACAGAACAGCAGAGTCTGTCTGCAAGGTACAAATTAGCACCGAATCTGGTGCCACTGGGGTGGAGGAAGAAAATGGTTAGACTAAATGCAACATTTGCCTTCAAACCTGCCTCGAGCCTCTTTCTCTCAAAAGTCTTTGGGTTCATTTAGATGTTTGTTCTTCAAGCTCTCGAGCCTCTTTCTCTCAAAAGTCTTTGGGTTCATTAGTGTTTGAAGTCAAAGAAACTGGATTTGAATGCAGCTAAGACCAGTTGTGGCTCTTACCAGCTGCAAATTACTTAACTTCTCTGGACTTTATTTTCCTCATCTGTAGAATAGGAGAAATTATGACACCCCCCACCCCTGGTCCACCTTGCTACCAGTTCAGTTTTGAGAAGGCTTCTGTGAGATACAGGATTTGTAAAGCATTTAACACTATATCTGTACATAGAAAGCACATAAGAGATGGATCAGACCATTATTATCTTAAGGATATATAGGCTGTACTTTTGGGAGAGAAACACCTCTGAATATATTATTACAGAGGTTCTTTGATCATTTTAGACTTGGAAAAATAAGTGAATTGAAAGATTTCTCTTTTTAAATTTCCTTAAAATTTCTTTATCAATAAAAGTCATCTTGAAGCAGTGGAAAGATTTCTTAATTCTGGTCAGTGATATGCTTCTTCTTTACTTAGAAAATTCATCCCCAAATGTGACTATTGATTATTACCTAGTCACTGATAGAGAATTTTTTTTTCAATAATAGAGCTACTAAGTTGAAGAATCTGTCATCTTCTTTATTTTTTCTTCCATTTATAAAACTTGGATCATTTTCCTCAGGGGATATTCAAATTGCCAACCTAAAGCTGGAGATCTTGTCCTACCCTATATTTGTGCAATTGGTACTCTCGCTAGAAAACATTTCTTGAGTGTTGAAAGCCAAGATAAAGGAAGCTATTACAAAGGAGACTATTAAAATGTACTTCTTACAAAGTGTAGAAGCCCCTTATAATCATGTTTTCTTCTAAACTACACTTATTTGGATGTACTGTGGTTTAAATAACAACACTCAAAATAAAACAACTATGTGGGTAAAAGCTGGGTGACATGGTGTTGAAAGTGTCCTGTCTTTGGGTAAAGAAAATCTCCCTACTTGCTGTTAATTAGTTTTTAAAGAAATCTAAATAAAGCATAGATTCAGATTTAAAGTTTGTTTAATTTATTCTAATTTTAAAAATTATCTTGTAAATACGTTGTTCAATGATGGTAGAATAGTTAAGAGAATAAACGTTGGGGTCAGACTGCTTGGGTTTGAATCTCAGCTCCACCGTTTACCTTCTCTCTGACCTTAAATAATTTCACTTCTTTATGTCTCCATTTCCTAATTTGTAAAAGGGAAATGCTATGGACCCCTTCAAGTTGTGAAGATTAAGTGAGATGAATATGCATGGAAGGCTCAGAACTGTGTGTCTGGCATAGAATAAGTATTGAACTGTTAGTGGCCTTCGTGCTGTGCTTTTCCCCTCTCATCTCTGTCAATATTTTAGTCATAAAAACGGCTATTAATATTGTTGTTTCAATAGTGGGATGTGATAGAAAGTACCGAGACAGGAGTTAGAATAATTTGTTCTGAGTAACCTAATTTCTTTAACCTTCACTTTACTCATGGGTTAATTGTTCAAGTTCCCAAAGAACTGATCTCAAAGGTCTTTTCCAGGTTGAAAATCCTATGATTAATCTACAGTCAGACTAAAAATGGATGTTTTCTGTTTCCACTGCCACTCACCCGATGCGATTATAATCCAAACGTCACTCAAATCTAGATTTCACAGCCTGTGAAACCTATTTCATGGTCCTTAGGGCAAATTACTCCTCCCTATCTTACTTATAAGCCTGTTTCCTAATGATGCTAATGCTAGAGAGACAACTATGTCAGGGAATATGGGCTATTTTTTGGACAAGACAATAGATAAATTGGCCATCCCTGCTACCAACAGTGTTTTTAAAATCAGAAATTGTTTATCATTAGGATGAGGATGATAGAAAAGGGAACCTGCCAGTACTAAATATGACCCCATTCTCTCAAGACCAGAACCACACCTGCCTACTGACAGCGTTGCCCATCTGCCAGGGCAACAGAGCCCAGGGATTGTTTCTGATGTCAGTTTCCCTTTCTGGACTCCTTATAATTATCTTTTCTCTTAAGTTCTTTTGCAATTAAAGCTCACCGGATCTCACTATATGGATAAAATGTTAAGTATCTGTAGAGATAGGTAAATAGATATACATATTTACATGATGGATGAATAGAGTAAGTAGATAGATGGATAGGATAACAGTAACAGAACTAAAGGCAGGGATGTGATTAGATAAGATAGTCCTCATAAAGCCCTACTTCCTTCCACATATAGTAGAACTTGTCAGTGTTAGCAGCTCTATTCATTATTGTTGTTATTGCTGTCTTAAAAAAAAAAACCTGCTATGGCAATAAATTTTTTTCTATGACCAAATTCTCCCTTCCCATAGCTCTTGAGCTAGAGTGGATTTAGCCTACATAACCCCTTCTCCTTCCTTCATAGCCTTATTTGGCTCTTCTAGTCCTTTTTTTGAGTTTAATTTATGCTAAATACACCTTACAAATACTTGCATATTTAAAAAATCTGTTTGCAGTCATTGCCTAGTCTGTCCTGGAAGACAGAAAGGTATTTGTCATTCTCTTTTCAAGAGTATCTACTTCTTCAGGAAAAAAAAAAAAAAAAAAACTTCAAAGGAAATATCTACCACTCTTTCCAAGAGCTCGTTGCCACATCTCAAGCTTCTGCAGTTCTGTTCTTTACTCTCTCCTGTGTCTTCTCTCTATTCAGCATCTACCTCTTGACTTCACTGTATGTCTTAGTCTGGGTTCTCTCCAGCACAATCCTGGAGACAGGGATTTGAGGTGAAAAGTAATCTATTTGGAAGGTGATCCCAGGAAGCGTGGCGAAGGAATGGGATGTGAGGCAAGGAAGGGAGAAAAGCCAATAAAGAACATGTTACTGGTATGGACTACTGTTGCAGGAAATTAGGGCTCAGTCCCCTGGGGCCCTATGAGAGACAGTGCAGGACAAACCTCCAAATCATCCCACCAAGAGAGAAGGAACTGGAGTGAAACATCAAGCGTTGTCACTCATTGGTCAGGGGTTGTTCCCAGGGGCATTGACTTCTGGACACTCGCAGCCTGCCCTCACGTTGCTATTTCTGGACAGAGACCCTCATTTAAAAACACCCAAATACTTGGGGTAGGAAGCCATCAGTGCCCACAGGAATTGTCCAACAAAGAAGCAGATGAGATTAGAATGGGCTGAGGGCATCAGGGCAAGCACTGACATGCAGCTTATCTGGATTTTATTTCAGGTGAAATGGACTCTTGGGAAACCACTGATGGATTCATTGACAAGTCCAAAACTTTGGGAAAGCCACGGAACCATAAGCCTAACCTTGCAGGCCAACAGGCCACAGTCTCAGAGTTTTCTGTCTGCCTTCAGAACATGTGGAGGCTGGTGCGCATGTGCCATGAGGGTGGGAAGTCTACTGCAGGCAGACTGTCTTCTTGGCCTGGCCTGGGCCTGGCTTTCCTCTGCATAAGGGTGCTGGGCTTCAACTGCATCGCCACCAGCTCCACCTGTGTCCAAGGGATTGGAGGTTCTCTCCTTAGCACCCTCACAGCCCTTTCTGCTGAGTCTGGCCTGACGGGCACAGTTCTCTTCCCCAGCCTCAGGGGACACTATGGCTTGGTCACCATGGGAATCATATCCAGCTGGTTCCACATGGGTTGTCTGACACTCTGTGTATTTTCTGTGTTTGCTCCTGGAAGTCCTTTTGATCTGGCTGTTTTCTTACTTCCATTAAGCAAAAACTTTTCTTCAAACCATGAGTTGCTAAAAGACCAGGTCTGTATTTATTCCTTTGAAAGAAACATGAACCAACCTATCCTTCCAGACCATTCCTCCAGTCACTGGACCAATAGCACAGTTCTATTTGAACGAGGGCAGGACCCTGAGCATCATGTCTTACATCTCCATTACCTTGCTCTTCTCAGTGTGATCCTGGCAAGAATCAGTGAGTAGTGGGTCATGTGTGGCATAGGATTTTCTGCAGCCTGTGATGTAGCTAAGTAATTGTAGAAGCATTTCGTGGACTTACCGCTGTGTCATTGTAAGTCTTCATCATTTGTTCACCAAGAACTCATTACAGGACAAGAGCTGTCTTAGACACTGGGGATACAAGAGTGGTTTATCAGATGAGGGTTTAGCTCCACTGAGAATCTGCATGGGAGATCAATGAATGAGTAGGTAGCAACAGCCAACAACACAACATGACAGGAGCTATGTGAGGAAAGGACGGAGGATTGGAGACACAGATGAGGGACCCCAAAGCTGTCTTGGGGGCTGGGGAAGCCTTCCTGGGAGGAGACACAATTAAGTGATCCCTGAAGGGCAAGCTAGGTGGGTGACATGAAGAGAGAAGAATGCTCCAGGCAAGGCAGACAGTTATGCAAAGGCTGAAATGTGAAAATGTGGAGATCTGGGAAAGTGCAAATAGTTATTTCCAGGGTGTATTTCAGATGGTAAAGAATCTGCCTGCAATGCAGAAGACCAGGGTTGAATCCATGGGTCGGGAAGATCCCCTGGAGAAGGGAATGGTTACCCAGTCCAGTATTCTTGCCTGAAAAATTCCATGGACAGAGGAGCCTGGTGGGCTGCAGTCCATGGGGTTGCAAAGAGTCAGACACAACTAAGCAATTAACACTTTCACTTTCAAGTGTGTAAATGCTTCAGATGGCATTTACACTGAAGGAGTATTTTGACCTGGATTCTTTCTCTGTGGAATTGGGATGGGGAGAGGGGAAGAAGACAGCTTGGTGAGGCCAAAGTTGTCTTTAGTTGCCTGGGGAAGGGGAAGGAAATCCTGTCCCAGAGACTGAGCATCTACAAGCTTGTCACCCTGAGAACTTGGTCTCAGAGCTCTGTCACCAACCATATGTCATTCACCCCTGGCAATGATGACATTAATGATTTGGTAAGGATGTTCGGTAGAGGTGTTTAAAAAATTGTTTTGGTCGTTTTACGCCTGATGAATTCAGCAGTGACATGTTGGGTATCAGCAGTGACGGGGTTAACAGCATGTTGGCCCTGAGTGATCCAACCTGCATATGCTCAGCCTGCAAAGAGTCTGGACTTTGTTCTTAGACATGGACTGCCTGTGATCCAGTTTCCACCCAGGGAGCATCACTTTTGTGCCCAATCCCTGATCCCTACCCCCGATCCACAGTCATCATTTGCAGAACTCCTCCCTGAGTCCACAACTCTAAGCCAGGTGATCCTCCACCCCCAGGGCCAAAGTGAGGGAATGGAGGGTCCTGGTGGGTGGTGGAAGAAGGATGGAAAGCTGACTTCCTCCTTCACTCGGCGTCTCCCTGCCTGTTTCTGCTGTGAACCTCAGCCAGCGCTGGGCTTCAGCAAGGCCCCCGGCCTTCCTGTGGCTCAGAGCTTCCCCTCCTCACCTCTGGGGTCACAGTGGAGTGGGGGAATGGGGCTCGGGTTTTCTGATTTCTGTCATGTCTTGGTCCACAGAATCTTGGGGATATGGGGAGAGGGAAAATGAGAAGTTTGTAGGTCTAGTTCCAGGGGTTATAAAGCCACAGGCTAGCCTGGGAACTGCATTCCTCTGATGTGATGTGCATGTTTGAGAAAGGAATCATTCCTAATTCCAAATAGATGATTGAGAAACCTGTCCTTTCATCTGGAGATGACCTAACCCCTAAAATATGTTAAGTGAAGGACCTGATGGGTGAGTTACCTTTTATTAGACTATTTGGTTTGTATTTCCCAGCCTTTGATTGAACAAAGGATTGAAAGAGGGTTGGCAATTTTAAGATTTACGCAATTAACATTATATTATGAGAATAAACTCATTCTAAAGGGGGAAAAGTCCAAATGACTCTTCCTGACACAAAAGAAACATCACGTTTACAGAATGTGGGATCTTGTTGGCAACGCCTACAATCTAGAGGAGCCCGAGAGGAACTTGGGGTTTTTTTCCATGGCAATAGCAGTTTTTCTGTTGACTCTTGATAAGGATGCCACAAACACCAGAACATGCTTGACACTCACGAGGGAGCCAGCTCAGGATGTGGAGACAGGCTGCCCAAGGATGTTGGCATGTTATCTAAGCTCTCTGTGTCCCTGTTTCCTTGTCTGTAAGATGGGATAGTAATGATAGTATCTTCCTATCAGGGAAGTGCTGAGGATGCCTTGAAATGATTCCTGCAGGGAATGTGCTTAGCACAGAACCTTCACAGGTATCAGAGCTATTTACTGAAAATGAATCTTAAATCTCATCTTCAGTCATCATCATTTGTATATTTTGGCTGTGATTGTGGTGCTTTCACGAGCATTGTTGTGTAAGCGTGGAGAGTGGGGTGGGCAGTGAGATGGAGAGCCAAGATACTGGATGACTCCCACATGCACAGCCACCACCAGCAAATGCCACTCACCCTTATTCCCAGCAGAATTGCAAACAACCTCAGGGTTGGTGGCATGGTCAAAACTGCACGTTAAAAGCACCAGTGCCCCAAAGGATGTAGTGTCAAGCCCTGGTTAGCGTGTTTAGCGTGGCCAGGCCTGGCGGCTGTCTTGGTGTCTCCATGGGACCAGTGACCTGTGGCTGCCTGGCCGTCCACCATGAATTCCCAGGCCCAGAGTTCACTGGAGGCATCTGCTCAGTAAATATTTGTTTCCATTCTGGGTGGAAACTAAGTTACAGAACTCTGGCTACAACATGATTTGACATATTGTTCCACAGTCCCTTAGCTTTCTAAAATCTAAGAGCCATGACTCTTTCTGTCCTCAGTTTATAAACAGTTCTGTCAGTGCAGAATCAGCTCTCACTTCCTAGCTTCACGCTGTGCGGCTGCAGCATTTTATAAATATCTCCAACCTGTCAGCACTGAGGCTTAGGGGCCGTGTGCAAGTTTACTGGTGAGCTCCAGGTCAGAATCCTTTGGCAGGCCAAGGTCTGGGGCTTCGAGGCGGTGTGCCGAGTGGTTGGGATGGCCCAGAAGGAGGGGGAGCCCGGGCCGGAGTCCCAGGAGAGGGCCGCCGCATGGTGACAAGGGCAGCCTATGAGGACAGAAGGCCTGGCCAGTGCTCTTCAGGGACAGACGCTGGAGGACGCCGCATGTTCAATCCAAATTATTCCTGGGTTCAGAGATCAGGACAAGGCAAATAAGAGGCCTGTTCAGGGCCAGAGCTGGATTTCAGGGAGAAGCATGGAAACCGGCTGTTGGCAGAATCTGGGAGCAGGCGCCGGGGCCTCCAGGACTGTCACTCAAGGACAGCATTGCCACCTGGTTTCTGACTTATCTGGTGCCTGCAGACTGCTTTCGAAGTGTAATCAAATGGTCGGAAGATTCGGACATGACTTAGTGACTCCTGAAAGGGTTAGTCACTCAGTTGTGTCTGACTCTTTTTGACCCCGCGGACTGTAGCCTCAGTCCATGGGATTCTCCAGGCAAGAATGTTGGAGTGGGTAGCCAATCACAACAAATGTGGTTGAAGGTGGGGAGGGGAGAGGAAGCTAATTTCTTCTCTGCCAAACCAGGAGGGAAGAGGAAAAACCATGGAATTGGAGCTGAATGTGAAGCCCAAGACTTGGTTCTTTGTTCTGTTTTGGGCATGAAATGGAGACATAAATAAATACATCCAAAATGAAATTATATTGCTTCCTAGTGATACCGGTGGTGATAGTGATTCAAAAATATAATTTATCCTATGACAAATTATTGATTGTAATTACCATGCCAGGCATGATACACGTCATAGTATTGTAATCCTCCACTGAGATGGGATCTTGAGATTCCCATTTCACAGATGAGGAAACTGAGCCACTGAAAGCTTCATGTACCAAACCTGACCGTGCAAGTCAGTGCCACAGCTGGAATTCTCACCGAAGTGTCTGATATTTCTTTCCATTTCTTCTCCCCCAACACCGCTGCCCTGTAGGTCTTTGGTCCTTTGACATCACCATAACCCAGCTTCTTCAGAACATTCTGGAAGCAGAGCAAAGGGCTGTGAATGGCATACAGTGCTCCCTGAACGACCTCAGGGACCTCATCCACTCCATCCTGGTCATGCTGGCCCTGGGGCCACAGCAGTTTGGCATGCTGGCCTGTAACCACAGGCCTCGTGCCATATATTTTTATGCAAGAAAGTGTACGGTGACAAATGCCTGTTCTCAGAAGACAGCAAAGAAGGGCACTTCAACCTGAGAGGTAAGCAGAGCCCCATTAATACTGGCCCCAAATCCCACTGATCCCAGTGATTTCCCCTAGTTGCTATGGGTGCATATCTTGTTCCATTTGAGAGCGACTATGTCATCCATCACCTCTGCCAACAGCATCAACTGCTTTAAATGCATCTTTGGGGTGACAGTGACTTGCCAGAGTTTGAAAGGGGTCTGACTGGCAGCACAGGCATTAACAACTCAGATTCCACTCCAGCCAACTCAAAGGGGCTTGTTTTAATTTTCCCAGCATAACTCAGTCTTTCCAGGTTTTTTTGTCCTTTTGGTTCTAAAATTAGGCAGGATCTTCTGTTAAAATTGCAGCTGGATCATGATCAATGATGTTTGGTCTCAGTTTCTTGGTTTTTGTTCCACAGCTGGTTTGTGAATGTTCTTTTCTAAGGACTGAAGCTATTTGTTGAAGTAGATCATGGTAACAACCCTTGGGTGGTTTCTGGAGTCTAGGTCCAGGCCAGGAATCTGATGGTCCCTCAGCTGACTTGGGTAAGCTTTGACTCAGTGATCAAGCTGAAACATCCAGTTTGACCAGTTAACTCTGATTAAGAAAACCACTAGTTTGTGATGAGCAAATGTCGAGTTTCTGGCTGCTTAAAACAGTTAACACTCTAACTTTGGGGAACCTAGAAGAAAATCCCAATAGTTCTCTGCTTAAAATAACGAATTGCTATTTTGCAAATACTATGGAATTTTTTGGTAAATACTATGGAATTTTGAGCAGCAGATTCCCTGGTGGCTCAGATGGTAAAGCATCTGCCTGCAATGTGGGAGACCCGGGTTCAATCCCT